GAGGATGAGATGGCTGGACAGTGTCTGCGAAGCAACCAACATGAATTTGACACAACTCCGGGAGGCAGTGGAAGATAGGAGGGCCTGGCGTGCTCTGGTCCATGGGGTCACGAAGAGTCGGACACGACTAAATGACTAAACACACACACAATTACTTACAGCATCAATGTAACCAGTTGCAGTTACTTTAGATATTGAGATATTACAAGTAACTTGTCGTTAATTTCAAACATTCCTTTTCTCAGGGCATTTAAAGTCATTTTTGGAGGTAGTTTGAGAGGAACTCTTTTATCAGTTCAAGTGGCAAAAGGAAATACTCTTTGATTTTATCTTTTGTATTTTTATATTTCTAAGGTGTAATATGAGATCTTGTGAAAACAAAAGGAGAAGGGGACGACAGAGGACAAGATGGCTGGACAGTGTCACCGAAGCGATCAACATGAATTTGACTGAACTCCGGGAGGCAACGGAAGACAGGAGGGCCTGGCGTGCTCTGGTCCATGGGGTCACGAAGGGTCAGACATGACTTAACGACTAAACAACAACAACAAATATGAGAACTGAGATAACCAGTGAGGTGTAATGATGGACTAAGAACTAAGATAACCAGTGAGGTGTAATGATGGACTAGGACCCAGGAGTCCTGTGTTCAGATTCCTGCTCAGCCATGGAAACTCATTGTAGGCGTGGAACTGGTAGAACCACTTCTTGAATATATCACTTAGCTAGAGAATGTATTCCTACATATTTTCTGCCTGTTGCTAAAGTCAATGCAACCTTTTACTATTAACATGTGACATTTTCCTAGGCAAGAGTCGGTTCGTCCTTCTGTTCCACGATGAGTATCGGCTGAAATGGATGAACCAAATCTTCAGGATAGCTTATGTCCATCTTGGGAACACCCCCTTCCCACTAGAGTGACCCCCTTTAATCTAACACTCTAAGGCTAGATGTGGAGAAAAAGCTGTGTGTGTGTTAACTCAGACATCAGGGAGACCCACACCGTACATGTTCAGTGACACTTTCCGTTTGCCATGGATCTGTCCTAATGCCATCTGGTGTTCCCATGATGAGCCTGGGCAGCCTAGCTGTGGGCTCAGGTGGTGTCATGTATGAGCACTCGCCGTATTGTGTTGGGTCCCTTCTGCAGATTCACAAAGACACACCCCGAAATGCATCATTTTCATCAGCCAGACTTTGGAAAAGTAGACTGGAAGCAGGTCTGACAAAACCTGACGTCATCGCTTAGCTTTGGTCTGTCTGTCATAATTGGCACTGCTCTCTCTAAAGTTGTCTCTCTGTGTGTGTGAAAGTGTCTGCCATTGCTATTTCTTCGTTATGACAAGTGAAAGAAAAAGAAGGCACATCTTTTTCACATGGGCCAACTGAGGCATAGCAAGCTATTTTTGGTCCCCAGGCTCTCGGCCTTGGAAAAGTTACAAATGTCCTACATGTGGGTCTGCATGTACATTTGCTCTCATCAAAGCCCGAGAGGAAGAAGGAGGAGGTAAAAAGGACCTGTTGGGTAGCTCCATGGTTTAGGTCCTTAGAAGTTGGGAGTTCGATTCCTCACTTGACAGGGACTGGACTCTATTATCCATAGGGTCCCCTCCTTCAGTTCTAAGATGATGGTGGTGGTGATGATGATGATTGTGTCTGCAGAATCTTCACCTGGATAAGTTCCCTAGCAATTCTAACAGAGAAATAGGACTGACCCAATTTGTTTTATGGGCGGCCTCATGGCCACAGTGGGACCTCATACTGTACCTACCTTCCCCTCAGACATATTTACAGGAGTAGCCACCCCAAAGATATCACACCAAGGGAAGTGGCAAGCCTTTCTGGGAAAGCAGTCCAGATTGAATGTCAGTGGCCAATATTTAGTCACCACAGTGTCCCCACACAGATTCCCTCCAGCTGGCGTTTATTCGGCTAGATGTATTCATTATTTTAAATCTGTTCCATCAAAATCCACTCACGCGCAGGCTAATGGGTGACTGGCAGTGACAATCAGCCCAGGAACAATAAAGAAAAATGGTTCTCCCTCCCCCTCTTACAACGAACTGTTTAATAAGCCCATGAGAGCAGTTTAATGACCACCCTACATCTCTGTCAGATCTGTTACACGCCTTGCTGTTTCTCAATAATGCTTCCTGAGTTATTATTTTCCCTGAACTCTTGGTAGAAATTATGAAAGTGGCTTTCCTGTTCTACAACTGTCCCCTTCTTCTCCCTCAATGCCCTTCCTCACAGTCTTGGCTGGAAGTCCTTAAAAATACCACGTTGCAGCCCAGAGCTTCAGGTACTTACGGCTGCTGCGTGAGTGTTTCGTCCTGACTGATCTTGCTGAGATAGTTAGCTGGAACGTAGCCCACGAGCGCTTCTCCAGACAGCCTCCGAGCTAAGACGTACCCTCCTTCTTCTCGGAGGACACAGATTTTGTCTCCTCTGTTGACGCTCAGCTCATCTGCACTTCTGGCCGTGAAGTCATACAGCACCCCGAAAAGGGAGACCATGGGCTCAACGGGGTCAGGATCCAGCGTGGGATGTAAAGATCCTTGGGCTGGGTCCCATAAGTCCAGTGAGTGGTTACTTGGGACCCCGTTGGGCAAACATTTGCCCCAGAAAGTATTGAGGAAAGTCAAGTGTTTCCTGATGAATTGGTCCATTCTCTCTTCAGGTGTACCTTTCTCAAATAGGACTCAGCTGTATTCCAACAAGCTCGCAGACAAGGAAGAAGAACATTGTGGATGAAATCTCCATGGTTCTCCTCTTCAATGGCTGTTCCAACATCCACGGCGGCTGGTCGTCGCTTGCCTTCTCCCCAAACCAGCCAAGTGAAATGAGGTGCTGTTGTGAGGCCTCGGATGCCTGAACGCACTCGCTCGTTTGTCACAGGGAGCTCCTAGATTCCAAAAGCGAGACCTGACGATCAGGCAGAACTTGTTCGCTGCTGCCTAAACTCACAAGTTGAGGCGTGCCAACACTTCCGTCTGGCCAGCCGCCGCTGGAGTTTGCTTCATTACCAGATTAGCTCCCTGCTCCGAGCTGCGCCCCAAATTAGCACTCATTTCCACACGGTTGCTTACAACAATGTGTGTCGTTTCACCAGCCTTTGGTGTGGTGCCAGTTCAGGCAACTGCAATAAAGCTGAAACACACACGTGAAGCAGGGTTTGGGAGCAGGGTATAGAATTCTGCTTAAATTTAGCCCTCTAAAAGCTCTCTTATGCCAAGGGGGCAAAAGTGATGGAGGTATGGCATTTCCTCTTCTTCCCCCTGCCCCACTTAAAAAACAAATTCCGTCTCTTGTGACGGATTGTAAACCGCCCAGAGTGGATTTTTTCAGATGGGAGGTATAAAAATCAAATAAATATATAGGCAAGTGGGCTGCTCATAGACACACCTGCCCGTGGCCCTGATTTCTAAAGTCCATGGCTGGCTGCAACACCAGAGCATCCAGGTTCCATAATTTCAGACACATTTCTGCACTCCTGTGGTTGTTCAATCCCATGTAACAAAAGAACTCCACTTGTACCAATTCTTTTCATACCTTGGTTGTATTGATACATTTTTCCCCAATCGTCACGTGGCATATCTATCTATCTATCTATCTATCTATCTATCTATCTATCTATCTATCTATCTATCTATCTATCTATCTATCTATCTATCTATCTATCTATCTATCTATCTATCTATCTATCTATCTATCTATCTATATCCTTAGAGCAATAGAGAGTATATGAAGAGTAGGGTTTTTAAAAAAGAGAGACAATAGACGTTAAGGCCACACTCCTTTCTTTACAATTCCAAGCAGGAAATGTCTTTTTTTCTAGCCCTCTTCCAGCTTCAAAGGGAGAGGGGAAGGCTGTCTCCTTCTGAGCAATGTATTCATGTTGTTTTTGTTTGTAGCAGCCGCTACTAGTGGAAACAAGCCACTTACTGATATGATTTTTTTTTAAAGGTACAAGCACAGCGGCCATGAAGTGGCCACAGCACCCAGAAACCCCAACCCCTTTACAAATAAATTGCTGCCCATTTATTTACAAAGGAAATAAATGGACAGCAATGCCCTCACACACTGAAATGATAAGGAATGGAGCAATTCACCATCCACACAATTTAAAAACCATCCTCCCAGGGCGGGGGAAATAAACTGCTTACCAGGGCAAAGGAATCGATGTTGGCTGTTTGTCACTTGAATAGAAAATTATGAAACTATCTGAAAAGCAGCCAAATCAGTACGGCTGGGGTTTATTTGGCAGGTGTGATTGAGCCCTTAGTGTGTAGACCTCTGGTTAAGTGTTGTTACCGTAATCATGAATGAGAATGTGGACAAAACAAGAACGGATTTGGGTAAGGGAGGAGCCCACTGCAGCTGTGCCTCAAGTTGCTTGTCTATTGGACCACCTGGTATCTTCGCTTAGAATATTTACTGGCCATCTGCTTAGTGCCCAGTCTTGCCGATTCCCACTCATCCACACCAGCTCCAGGCCTGGTATAGATTACTAGCTAATTTCAGGGCACCTTGAAGTGCTGTGGACCTCCCTCTCCCTTCTAGGCCACTCCCACCCCACCCACATCTCCCTTCCCTGCTCTTTATGTCTCAATGTCTCAAAAGCAAAGTCTCAATGTTAAAAAGCAGAGCCATAACTAGCCATTTGGGCAATCGGCACCACCTCCTGAGGCACAGGTGGGCACCCCCTCAAGAAAAAGGAGAATGTGGTGCCCCTTCCAGAAAGAAGACATTTGCTTTCCGAAAAAAGGCAAGAGAACTGGACTGGAAAGTGCTGCCGTTTGTTTTCCTAACATGTAGGAATAGGTTAACTTCCAAATGGTTGTTCTGGGTTTTTCAGGCTCTTTGGTCGTGTTCTGAAGGTTGTTCTTCCTGACGTTTCGCCAGTCTCTGTGGCCGGCATCTTCAGAGGACAGCAACCTGTACTCTGGTGTAGTTGGCTTGGGAGTGCCTGCCAAGCTAAGTTGCCTCAGATCCATGTCTCTTTCCATCCAGAGACACCAGGTACTGTGCCAATAGAAAGGTAGCAAAGCAGAGGAAAATATACCAGTGGAGATTCTCCATCCTCCAAGTGAGGTTATCTGGAAGCTGAGTGATGGCCACTGGACCTCTTTCTTGTTAGGCTGAAACGTTTTGCTCCTCATCCAAGTCTCTTCTTCAGTCCGAAGAAGTGACTTTGATGAGGAGCGAAACGTTTCAACCAAATAAGAAAGAAGCCCAGTGGCCATGACTCAACTTCCAGAAAAAGCAGAAGGAACTAGCATCCACTGGAGGTAAAAGTAGAAATGGGAGACTGAGTCAGTTTCTAAATTAATATATATTTATTTTAGGCTTAGCTCCTGAAGAAGGCTACCACTACAATGTGTCAGGCCAGAGCTTTTTAAGTAAGAATAAAATCTGCATTGCCAACATTTTTATACATCTTGTTTCCCAGTAGAAAGATAGGTCAGGGCGAGGGTTATGCAGAGGAGTTGCCAACACCCTGGGGCTGGGAGAGATTTGGGTTCACTACAGCTTAGCTGGATGAGTGTACTACACTATTATTCCTCTTTTTAAGAAGCAAACAAGCAGAAGAGATATAATGGAGGGAGGGTTCTTTCCTCAGCTGTCACACTGGCCATTTCTCCTGGCAAAATATCTTATTCTTTAAGTATTCTAGAGCTAAATCATCTATAAGCCTGTAAGAGTATGTATGTATGTATGTATGTATGTATGTATGTATGTATGTATGTATGTATGTATGTATGGATGGATGGATGGATGGATGGATGGATGGATGGATGGATGGATGGATGGATGGATGGATGGATGGATGGATGGATAAAGGTAAGAGGTAAAGGTTCCCCTTGACAATTTTTGTCCAGTCATGTTCGACTCTAGGGGGCGGTGCTCATCCCCGTTTCCAAGCCATAAAGCCAGAATTTGTCCGAAGACAATCT